CAAAGATGCACCTGTTGCATTCCACAGCAGCAGATAACTATTTTGTTTTTCTTCTCCTCTGAGGCTTCTCAGCTTCTCAGGAGAAAAACCCTGGCAAAGGGATTTTTCAGAAAATATCATAACTACACATGTGCTCTGCAGACACTGAAACACTTGTGTGGCTCAAGCTCCCTGAGATTGTGCACACACTCAGAGCAGGTACCAGGTGTCACAGACAATGATGCTCCTCAATTACCAATCAGGAACATCTCACCAAAACCAGATCCTGCTCACCCCTGCCCCGTGGAGCTCAGAGCAGAAGACAAGAACTGCAGTGAAGGTGGAAGACAAGCTTCAGGCTTTTTGTGCCAATCACCAGCATCAGTACACGACTGAACTACATGGAAACAGTCACAGGCAAAGAGAAAGGGAGTAAAGGCCACATGTACTATCTGAAAGATGACACATCTGTGCCTTCCTCTAGAATCTGAATCCTGAGCAACATTACAAACCACCACAGGTAACACATTTTCCTATGAGCTTCTTGTGAAGCTGGTCACACAGTCAACAGGTACTGCAAGCCTGTCATCCCCCTTCTGGATCCAGCAAAGATACAGTGGGGCCTCTGTAGGATGTAGTGACAAGAGTTTAAAAGTTTATGTTAATATTCAAAAAATAACTCTTTATGAAATATTCAGGGCATAATAATGTAACCTTATTTTACCACTACTACTGTCTTTTCTTACCTACTGCATGTGACATGGTGTTGAACCTTGTTGAAAGCAGAAAGTTGGGTAAAGCACCACAACAAAGCAAGGTAAAAGTTCCACCAGGCTGGTAAGCAGGAAAAATGCAAAGTCACTTTGGATTACTCACTACAATTGGATTTCTTATTTCAGCCTGAAGCCAGCTCTGCACACAAGCAGGAGGAGGAGACATGAATTTGGCCACCTGATTGAATCTTTCCAGGACTGGAACTGTTGTGTGTATGTGATTAAGAGTTCAAGTTTCCTCCTGACCCACCAAGCTCAAACTGACCCTACTGGGGCAAGGGAGAGCCCTTTCACCTTAATAAAACCTCATTAAGGTGAATATTGCTCTGGACAGACACAGCCATCCATCAGTGTTTTTTCTACTACAAGATCAGTCCAGTTTTGGGAAAAGACAAAAAGCAATGAAGAAAGACATTAAAAAAAATATTTTGGCTTTAGTGACTGAGAAAAAATAAAATGCAGATAATTGTCTTTTATTGAGATGTATTTTTAGAATGTGCCACTTGTCTGATGACCACCAAAACTGGTCCTGAGACAGAAAAAGTCAACTCCTGAAATCAAGACAGTCAATAAAACAGTAGTCAGTTGTCCTTGGTTTTTCACTAAACATGTAATTTAAATGCTTACCAAATAATGTCCCGATTTAGTACAACACATCTGATTTGACTTTGCCTGTTTTAAAGAAAAATGATGTAGTAGATTCTAAAATTATATACAGTAAAAAATCTGTAAAAAAAGAAAACAAACAAAACAAACAAAAAAAAAACCAAACAAAACCCAAAAATCAAAACAAAACCAAATAAACAACAACAAAAAACACCACTTTTTTTCTGCTTTAAAATCAATTTTAAAAAGACATCAGGTTGAGAGAGTAAAAGAGGCTCAGGAGAAAATTATAAATTTCAAAGGTCTGTCTTCTGCACACACAAAGAACAGCAAGCAGCACCAGGTGGTGCAGATCATCTGGCTTCTTGTAAACAGACTGAAGCCTCACAAAGGTAATACCTAGAGGAATTATCTCAGTTTTTCATCTGCAAAGACAGAAACATTCATCACCTAGCAAGTCATTCAGGTACATTATGTTTTTCAAATATGTTGTGTCCACTGACTACCAAACTGTTGTGCCTTCTAAAAAAGATCACTAAACATCATTGTCCAAGACCCCAAGACAGTTCTTAAGAGCTACAAGATGAAAAACACTCATTTTTGTCCTCTAAGGGGAACTGAAGGAGCCACATTAACTTCTGTCACAGCACTGAGCACTTGGATAGAGCATTCCAGAAATACAGATAATTTACAGCTATTTTCCTTTCTGCAGATATATCACCTGAATGTAAAACTGTAATTTTTGCAATAAATATGACTCATCATTCAGCAGCGAGGTGAAAATAAATCTGGCTAATTTATCAAACCCAATGCCAAAACATCATTAGCACTGTTAATGGAAGTTGTTATTGGATGCCTTGTCCCAGGGGAGCCTTGGTCTAAAAGTACTATGAGAGGAAGTGTTGGATATGAAATTGTATCCAATTATTCATAAGGTGATGGCTGTGGATGCTTCAGTCAGTCAATCCAAGTTTTATTTAAACTAGCCTGTTGTGATCTGAAATCCCATCTTGGGTCACAAGCCTATTCATTTACCAGAAATGCTTCACCTTTGGTATGACTGCTCTCAGAAAAGTCTTTGGGATCAAGGAAGAGATTTACACTTAGAAGATCTTGGTACAACTCATTCTTTCTAGGACTTTCTACTTCTCCACCAGAAAAGATGCACTGGTTGTACTGCCTCAGGAAACCCTTCTGAGAGCAGACACCTCCTTGTTATAAATAGGTCAATAAACTCCAGGTGTCAAATGCAAAGACACTACAAATTCACACGAGCTCACTAACATGCAATGTGAAATGTGAGTACACACAGATGGATTTATTGAAGGCCCCAAGATGGATGCATTGTCCATATGAGCAAGCCCATGAGAATGCTGAGGGGTGTGGAAGAGCAGAGTGAACATTTGAACCCCTTTTCTTCTTCCCCCCATGCTCACCACAGCACCAACTCTGCACTGCAACCCTGAAAAGCCAACAAAAAGCTTTGAAACTGTAATATTCTTTGTCAGGATCACAGCCACATCCCAGTGCTGCACTAAGGATGGTTTCCAGCACAAACCTGAAGTCAGACACAGCCTCTGGTCCAGCCCTGCCCAGGGCTGAGCGTGTCCCATGGATCTTGGCTGCTGCAGAGGTGCATGGATGGACATCCACAATCCTGGCCTCATTCTGCACAGAGCCCACTGCAGGATTCACACCTCTGTGCTTATGGTGGACATTCAACCCATAGAAAGACTTGCTATCCACTAAAAGCAACATTTTGCATGCCATAATGTCCCTGGCACTTAAGACAACAGGCAACCAAAGCTGATTCAACATCAAGAAAAGCAAACTAATCAAGAAAAGCAAACTTGGTCTGAAAAACACAATCCAAATATACAGCACTTCCCACCTACACTTCATTCAGCCAGGCCCACAGACAAACCAGTGGCTGCCACATCCACCACTGAGAGAGGCTGAAACTCCAGAGCACTCAGGCAGTCATATTTCTATATTTAGGATTAAACTCTTAATATTTAGTGTGCTTTAAATTGATATCTTACTGCTGTTCCTCATTACAACCTAAAAAAGGAGTCAAACTGGTAATTTTTTTCATACAATATTAATCCTGCTTTGAAAAGATTTCCACCTCCAACAACAATTGCCAATTCAACACCTCTGAATTGAATATAAAGAAATAGAGATTGGTTAAGTTCAAGTACTTTTTATTACATCTAATAGCAGTATCCCTCTAAAGGAAAACAATGTCCTTGAAATTTATGAGCTCCATGAACCTCTGAGCCTATTTAAAATGATCTTCACTTTTCCATAAATTCTACTATTTAAGCACTGGAGGAAGTTATCCGTCTATTTCAGATCATGTAACTTAGGCAATTAATTTATTCAAGAAGGATCAAATGGATTATTTTACCAGCATTACACGAAAATGTGCCATAGTGCATACATTTTTGAGCAGGGAGCAGAGCATAAATTTATTTAAATGAATGGGTTCAGTGATTCTGGATAGAGTCCTCAGATCTGAGCGTGCAGCCTGGCTGTGCTTGCAGGACTGGGTACCGGGGCTGGCTAAAGCAGATCTGAGCCCAGCAGCTTCCACGGCTGGCGCTTTTCACCCAATGCCAGTGTGCCGAAGGAAAGCTCAGCTTTGGATGGATGTGGCAAAGAATGAAAACGTGAAATGCAGCTGCCCACGTCCTGCCAGCCCGTTCAGCGAGCCGGAGTTCCGAACCAAAAGCGGCGCGCACGGACAATGTGATGATGTGCAAAAACCCCTCCGCTGGAGTTGGCGTATTTTCCTGGGGGAGAGGGAGAGCTGAGCGCTGCCGGGGGGCTCTACCGCCAGTACCGAGGGCAGGAGCGGTGCTCCGGCTCCGGCGCGACCCCCGCCCGCCCCGGCTGCCGGCGGCTCCCCCGGGCACAGCCCCATCCCTCCCGGCGCCTTAGATCCCGCCGCCCGGGAGCATCGGGCGTAGCGATCTGGTGATGAAAACTTCGATTTTGTGAGGATGACATCCAAGTTCGGCTGCTCGCCGGTACTATGTCTCATACGCCGCCCGAGACTCGAGGCGAGCCGGTGCCGCGAGACACCGGTACCGAGAGCATCCCGCCAGCCCCAGCCCCGCCGGCCCACGGGGCGGCACCGCCGGGCCAAGGGACGTGACCGCCGCCCGGCCGCTGCCAGAATCCCCCCGGGAAACCTCCCCGGCCTTGGGGCCGCTCCGTGCGGAGCGGGTGGCGATGAGGAGCGCCCCGCATCGCCGGCCAGCCCGGGCGCTCCCGCGGTGCCACCGCGGCTCCAGCGGCCGGGGCAGCATCCCCCGCACCGAGCGGCTCCCCCGGCGCAACTCGCGGGGAAGCGGAGCGCAAACTCCTGCGGGAGCCGCTGCTCACCGACATCCCAGCCCCGATGCGGGTCCGGACCGGGCTGGGTCCCCTCCGGGCGGCCCCAGCGCATTCCCGAGGCAGCTCCGCGGGGCTCCCGGTTCCCCCCGGCCGAACCGCCCCGAGGGCGCCCGTGTCCCCCGTCTCCCTCCCGCACACTTTTCTCCAGCTCCGCACAACTTCTCCGGGACGGCGGCCCCCCCCTCCCCGTCCATGCCCGTCCATCCCCGGCCCCTCGGCGCCTCCCGCCGCGGGTCGCACCTGGTCGGGCTGCGGCGGCGGCGGGTTCCCCCTGCCGCCCGGGTGCGCCGGCTGCTCCTTCATGGCTGTCATCGCAGGGGCTCGGCGCGGCGCCTCTCACTGCTGCTGCGGCCCCGGGCACCCCTCCCTCGGCGCCAGCCGCATGACACCAGCCTCCCCTGGAAGTGGCGCGGCGGAGGAGGAGGAGGAGGAGGAGAAAGAGGAGGACGGGCGGGGGGCGCGGAGCCGCCGCCGCGGTAGCGCCGCTACCGCAGTGCCCGGCGCGCCGGAGCTCAGGGGGCGCCCGGCCCCGCCGTGCCCCGCACCGGGGGCGGCCGCGCAGCAGCGCCGGGCACCGCGGCCGCGGAGCGCCCCGAGCGGGCACGCTGCGCCCGCCCGCCCCGCTCCCCCCGCTCCGCCCGCGTGGGCCGGCCCGCCGCCGCCAGCAGGTGTCACAGCCGCTCCCGCCGGCCCGGGAGAGACCATCCGCGCCCCCGCCACGGGGGCGTCGCTGCCGGCTGCGGCCGCGCCGCCGAGACCGCCCCGCGACCGCCCCGCCGGGACCGACCCCGCCGCTGCTGCTGGAAACACCAGAGGGGATAAAGGGGAGGAAAGGGTGAAGGAGCCCGGCTACGCTGCTCGCTTGCTGAAACGCTTCTGGTGCCAGGGAGCGCCGGACTCGCCGGCAGGGCAGGAGCTGCCCCGCCGCTGTCCAGCCCCGCCAGGCGTTTCAGCAGCCAGCGGCCAAAGGCGCATCCCCGGCTCTGCCGGAAGGAATGTTGCCAGCCCCGGACTGGGAGGCTCGGCATGGGGCATCACAACCCTGGTTTGCACCAAGACACTCATCTTGGGAAGCCCAAGGTTTTGAAAGGGGGTCCAACGACCGTTTCAGCTGAACTCAGCACAGGAGATCCTGATATGGGAACTGGGAAAAAAGGGAACATCAGGGAAGACCATAGGGATCCAGTTTACCCTGTGTCCATATCATCAGGTAGCTTCAATAGGTGTTCTATTCAAGGATGAATGAAGGAGACCATCTCCAATTTGACTCTAACCATCAAGAAATAAATAGCTGAACTGTAAAGACAGATGCTGACTCAAGACATAGTGAACACAAGTCTTTGTAAGAGAAAAGAACCTCAAACCCAGGCAGGTGGAACACCCAGGCTTGGGCTGGGCTGCCTGGTAATTCAGGCTGGTTTCAAGCCCCATGATTCAGGGGGATGCAGAACACAGGACTGTGTCCAAACAGGAGATGGAGCACTGGGATGACAACGAGTGGCTGGCAGGAGAGAGCCCCAGCCTGGGTCTCGGGAGGCTGAGAGGTAGAAGGAAAGCTGTCAGCACACAGTGAGAGGAGCTTTTGATCATTTTTAATATATTTTTCATCAAACCTTACAAGAAAGGTCGATTCTGACTGGATGGTGAGCATAATTAATAGCAGTGACAGAGATCTAAGATTTCAGCCTGTGGTGGGAGCTGTTTAAAAGGGACAGGAAGATGACATGGGACTGAGGAACTACACACCAGGCAGCCACAGAATAGAGAACTGAGTGTTTCCACCTTCCACTACCACCCATTGCTGTGTTGACTCTTCCACCAGTCAAGAGGCACAAAAAACCCTAAGGAAATTAACTTTGCAAGCATCTAGACAAAAACTAGATGATGACTAATAGCCAGCATTAATTTGTCAAGAGTTTATCACCTCAAACAAACCTAATTTCTTTACTTAACAGGCTAACAAGTCTGTCAGCAGGAGAGCAGTGAATGTCACCTAGATTGACTCACAGGGGCTTCCAGCACTGTCTTCCAGGACAGTTTCATCTGGCAGAGAATAATATCATCTAAATAAAACTAAAATATCCACAAAACTATTTTTCCAGCATCATTTTCATTTGCTCCTGCCAGTGCTGGCAGGGCAGCTGTTGAATACAGGAGCCAAGGCCAGGGGGTGCACAGCAGCACAGACATGTAGCCAGGAGAATCAGAAGTGTGGCAAGCGCATGTTCTAAAGGAAAACAGTAAATTACCTGGATTGGTTAGTCTAAAGGAAAGAAAACTGGGAGCTGATGTGGAAACTATGTTCAAATGCTTAAAAAGTGCTACCAAAGAATGAAAATAATCTTGATTATTGTCTAAATGTCTCTCTGGAGAAATATGAGTACAATTGGTGATGCCTGGAGTAGGAGAACTGTCTAAAATAACTGATTCAATTTCTTCTTGTTGCTGACTTTATGATCCCTCTCCAGCAAAACACTGAGGGCCACCACAGCCCCCTGCATGAGACCCAAGTACAAGACTGTTCTCACTACACAGCTGCTTTCTCTCAGCTCAGGAATCAGCATCAGAATCCTGAGTTCCTGTGCTTCTATTGACCCCATCTCTTCCCTTACATGTCTATTTATCTCCCTTTTACATATCTATTTTCTCTCTTATAATTCATTATTTCCCATCTCAGCTGCTCTCAGCCCTGCCCCTTTACTTCCTTGCCCTCTGCTGCTGTCTCATTTTATTTTAACATTTGCACCATGCAAAGAAAAAGCAAAAAGGGCAGCAAAGGTGGCATCCTGTGCACTCCCATGCCAATTGCCCTGCTTTACTTCCACAGAGCAGCCTTCATTGCCTTCATTTTGGCTGCATTCTGTTGGACCTGGGGTCTTGTTTGCTCTGAGCAATGTGAGAGACTCAGATTTTGCCTGTGGCCTCTAGGTGCTACAGTAATACAAATAATAAGTCTTAGAAGCAGACATGTTCTGATTCATGCTGTTTATGGCACAGGTCTATTGCTACTCAGCTAATTATTGGGCCCTCATCAAAGCTGAAGAATTCTAATGATTTAGGGTTTGAATAGGCATGTTTCAATCAAGATTACTCCCAGCTTGTTTTCAATAAGACCCATTGTGATGGAGTTCCACTGTTAATCAAGAAGGAAAAAGACATCAGCAGTCATTTAGCTGAAGTTTGGTTATTCATCAACAATATATTCACTGTGAGGTTTTATCACTCTAATGGATTGAGATATGCAGCACAAGCTTCACAGAGGTTGTGCATGCTGGATTGGGTTTTCATAAATAAATTAGAATTATGGGGAAAAAAAGTATTTTTGGGGAAAGACTTTGGGAATCGGCTATATACACAATTATTCTTATAAAGCTTCCTAAAACCAAGGCTAATACTCTTATTTACAGCACTCATTCTTACCTTTCATCAATAATTCTGAATGTTGGTTCATTGGTTTATAGTATTGATGCTTTGGTGATATTTAATTAATTCACCAGTTTTCACTAATGCCCTCATCAATTTTTATTTAGGACTTTTTTTGCAAATTACTGCTTAAAAGTCATTTGCCTGGGCTGTTTAAAGGAACAGACATTTTTCAGCCATTAATAGGACATATCATTGAATCTGGAGCCTGGTACTAAAACTGCTGCCATATGGGTGAAGCAATTAAGTTGTATGGTGTTTATGGTGGTCCTTGTACCATTTTCACCCAAACACCTCATGGTATCACCGGGGAAAGCACCTAAGCCTTGGTTAAAATAGCTGCAGAAAGCCATAGAATTATGGTCTGAATCAGTTCTTTTACATTAATCCACCTTTCAATGGCAATTTTATCTTTGTAACTTCTCCATCTTCACACATGAGATTTGGGTGCATGAGTCAAAACACAACATGATTATTTTATCTTCCACATAAGCTGAAAATCAGCTCCATCAGAGCATTATCCAATCATTGCAGCTTGCAGCACACCATGACTCAACCACACATATGTTCTGTTGACACAGCAGACTAATGTGCAGTAAAAATTTTGGACAGAAAGCCAGAAAACTGTTTAAAAAGTAAAGGGGCCAGACATATGTGCAAAAAGAAAACAGCACAGGCTGCCACATGCAAGGGCAATTGTTGCTTATGTCCCTGAAGGAAGCCTGGTGGGGTTTCACTCTCCTGGCCTGTCACCCTTCAGGTGATGTTGGTGCCCAGGTGCCAAAGGCTGCCCAGGTGTGCCAGGTGTTAATCCCTGCAGAGCCCTGGGACAGGGGCTGGGAGCTGCAGGACAGACAGAAAACCTGGTGATGATAAAGCCCTGGTGATGAAGAGATTTCACTGCCCTGTGTCAGCAGATGCTGCTCTGTAGCTTCCACCACAAAGAAGAGGAGTGTTACTGGCACAGTGCAGGTCCTGGCCCTTCCTCTGATGAGAGCTTGGGGTTCTGCTGCTTCTCCAGAGGTGGAGTTTCAAAGAACAAACCTGCACCAGTTTGGTTTTCTGTGTTTTATACGGCTCTCTTTATTGTGCAATTGCAGTGAAGGTGTAAATACTTCCTATTTATAAGCATTCCCATAAAAATAAGAAGCCACTTTTACCCTTTACATCTGGCTGAGCCACTCCTACAAAGAGTGTCTGGGTTTTTTTATGATCAAGTCAATTGGTAGAGCACCAAGTCAGGCAGAGTCCAAGAAGAGTTTAGACAATCCCCTCAATCCCTTAGAGCACACAGTGTGACTCCTGGGGATGGTTCATGAAGGGCCAGCAGATGGATTTCATCATCCTTGTGGGTCCCTCCCCACTGAGCTTATTCTGTCATTCTGTCATTCTGTAGTTGAGATTAAGACTGCCAATCACATCTAGCCAAGATGTTCAGCACTCAGGCTCTTAAAACTGAGGGGAAAAGACTCTCATCACATCTCCCACAGCCTCTGTGCAGTCCAGCTGATGACTTTATGAAAGCTGCAAGGTCATGGCTTGAGTGCTTGTCGATAACTTTTTCAAATCAAATCTTATGAATAAACTCTGATTATGGATCTCTGATTCATTTTAAAGCTCTGTCAACCAAGCTAAAAGAAATCCTTGAAATTATAAAGGTGAATTTAAAAATCAAACTAATGTCACCAAAACCCAAGAAAAGTTAAGATGATTGTTCCTCACTTGTGTTTGAAGTGGATTTGTGGGCTTGCAAAAACTAAAGATAGTCCTCCAGAAGAAAACCACTCTGAGTCACATAAAGCTGAAAAACAGACAGATTGTGGTTTTGCACAGAATGCTTTTTAAATTATGACTTTAAATAACTGAATATTTGAACTTTGCTTCTTAAGAAATTCTTTGATAGAGGGAAAATTCCAGGCACCTTCTGTATTTAGAAACACATTTCATTCTAACACCTGCTTCAGTGAAAAGCTATTTTCTTTGTGAATAAATTGTACTCATGTTTTTCTCTCCTTGTCTTGTTTTAGATAAAACAATCAATGCAAACACTGAGTTAATACAAATAAATGCAAATA